GGTTGGGATCCAAAATGGGAGGGCCGGGGGGGCCCCCGGGGGGGGCGGGGGGGGGCGGGTTCAAAAAAAAAAAAAAAAAAAAAAAAAAAAAAAAAAAGGTGGTTGATATTCAGACAAATATAGATCTCTGATTGAAGTTAGGCATTTTTGTTATTAGTTGTACGGCTGCTTGTGTTGTCAGCCAACTATGATCACCTCTCTAAGAAGTTACTCACACTTTGTTTCTTTTCAGACAAATATTACATCCCTGACTAAAACCTTTCCAAGGATTCTCCTGGCATTTGGAACAAAACCCAAACTTCTTAATAGGGCCCCTGAGTCCTGCATGACTTGTTTTTACCTACCTCTTTAACTTCATCTTGTCCTACTCTCAACCCTCACTAGGTGAGAGCCTCCAGAGTTTTCTTTCAGTTCCTGGAATGTATCTAGGTCTTGACTACCTCAGGACTTTGGCATATACTTTTCCTTTTATTTATTTAAATTTATTTATTTTTGGTTTTTTTGGTGGCTGCCTGGTACAGGGATCAGAACCCTTGACTTAGGTGTTATCAGTACCATGCTCTAACCAAGTGAGCTAAACAGTGAGCCAGCCTCTTCCTTTTTTTTAGAATTCCGCTTGAAATCATTTTTCATGTGATGATCTTTCTTATCCTTCATGTGTCAGATTAAACATTGCTTTCTCAGAGAATCTTTCTCAGACCATCCAATCAAATGTAGGTCTCTCTAGTTATTTCCTCTCATAGGCTGTTACCTTTTCTTTCATATCATTTTGCACAATTTAATAAAGTTTACATGGCCAGCCGTCAATAAAAATAAAATTAAAAAGTTTACATATATAAGGGCTGGCCCATGGCTCACCTGAGAGAGTGTGGTGCTGATAACACCAAGGCCACGGGTTTGGATCCCTACATAGAATGGCCAGTTAGCTCACTTGGGAGAGTGTGGTGCTGACAACACCAAGTCAAGGGTTAAGACCCCCTTACCAGTCATCTTTAAAAAAAAAAAAAAAAAAAGTTTACACATATATTTTTCTGGTGGCTGGCCAGTACAGGGATTGGAACCCTTGACCTTGTTATTGTAAAACCATGCTCTAACCAACTGAACTAACTAGCCAGCTATTTGTTTCCTTTTTACCACATCTCTCCCACTATATTAAAAGCTCTATGAGGGCAGGGATTATATCTTTTTAGATCTCTATTTTTTACCTAGTGCCTAGCTCAATGCCTGGTCCTGAATAAATATTTTTCTTAATGACTATTGAGACCTGAAAATTGCCAAGCACTTGGTAACCTGCAAAGAGTTTTCACACATATTCTTTTTTTTTTTTTGAAGATGACCGGTAAGGGGATCTCAACCCTTGGCTTGGTGTTGTCAGCACCACGCTCAGCTAGTGAGCCAACCGGCCATCCCTATATAGGATCCGAACCCGTGGTCTTGGTGTTATGAGCACCGCACTCTACCGAGTGAGCCACGGGCCGGCCTTTCACACATATTCTTAATGAATCCTTATAATCATTCTCTGAGATATTTCAGGCAGGATACATTTTAATGTTTCTATTTCATAGAAGGTAAAACTCAGTTTAACTCATCAGGTTCACACAGCTGGTGGGGTTTGGGTGGAGAGTCAGGTCTTTTGATCATTTAGACAGTGCTTTTCCTACCAAAATGAGATAGTAATGGGAAATTTGTGTGGGAAATACAGAGTACCCATATAGTGTGCCTACCAAAGAATCTCTCAGTCCTGATTCTTAGAAATACTTTGTTATCTTTCATTTTCATTTATACTCTCCATGATTATTGGCTAAATTTCCCATAGTGTGATAGAAAAATAATTCTAGTTACTTGTTGCTTTATAAATACAAAAGGTAAGCCTCAGCCACTCACCAAACTGAATGGACATGGGATGTATTTTTAATTTAGAAACCTGGCCTTTCGTCTACAGAGTAGGAATGAATATATTGCTCACCTTAAGGACCAATTGCAAGAGTTGAAGGCAAAAACCAACTTGGAGAATGGCTATATGAAAAGAAATACTGAGCTGCAGATTGCCCAGACCCAGAAAAAATGTAACAAAACAGAGGAACTCTTGCTGGAAGAGATTGAGGTAATCACTGCTCTATTAGGAAAGAACCAGGTGGCCGGCATTGGGAGAGGGAGATTTTCCCCCAGTACCCCCAACACTTGAGGTTGAAAATAGAAGACTGAATAAGGACTTGCGTATTTGCAAGTAGAGATTCTAATAGGCTGTAGCCTACATTTCTGCTTCTCTTATGATGACATTAAAAATTGTTTGTGCTTTCACCTTAGTCACTTTATTCTTATTTTATAAAACAACTACCATTTCTCTTGGTAATTATAGGCAGAGGGCAAAACAAGACACTTAGTAACTGCAGGTTTTTTCTGCTGCCTACTTCATCCAACCAGTACCTTTTACCCCTCCAGTAAGAAATAAAATCTAGAGAGCTGAACTTCATTCAAACCTAAATTTATAGATATGAGAAGTCACAGTGAAAAATATCAAGACAAGGAAAGAAGGGGTAGACTTTCGTTAGAGGAGGAATGCTAGGTGGCTAAAAGAACAGCAGACCGACAGGAAGAAGGGAGCAAACATCATTAGAGAGTGTCATTTGGGTGCAGGAGGACTCCTTTCTCTGAGACCTCCGCTTATTTGAAATCTTACTTCCCAGGTGTGGCTTAAGACCCTGACAACACACTTCTTTCTTGCACTCCGGAATTTCCTTTTTGAGGCTTAAGAAATGTGTGCTCTTAAAGCATTGTTTTTCTCCTTAAATTGACATCACTTTCTGGGTAACAGGATTGTGGTCTTTTTGTTGTGGGGCACTTGTGCACATCTAGCACAGTACCAGACACGTGGCTCAGCCATGCTTGTGAGCACGAATTGGGTGGAACTGAACTGAACTGCAGCTCTGCAGCAATACCACGAAATTCTTGGGATCCCAGCTCGTGGTAAAAACCTCTTGCTGCACCTCTCCCATCTTGAAAACTTCTGATTCTCAACCCTGCTGGGAAGAATTCCTGGCATTTGATTATTGTTCCTTACAGAAACTAAGGATGAAAACCGAAGAAGAGAATCGGATTCATACAGAGATTGAAATGTTCCTTAGAAAGGAACAGCAGGTGAGTCACCAAAACTTTTTTATTCCTTGATTTTTTAGGGATCTCACTTATAAAATACTGAGGAGAGCATAAAATAGTATTTTAAAGGAAAGAAAAATCAACCATAATTCTACCAGCCTAATGAATGAACTGTAGCCCATGTTTTCATTCAGAGCAATCCATCTGAATAGATATTTTATATAGCTGTAATTTGGGTACAGATAAAATTTTGTCTTCTGCCTTTATCATTTAGCTAATATAAGAAACTGTTTTCTTGTTCCTACATTGCATCATAGTCATAATTTAAAAATAAATTTACTGATTTTTTGAAATTATAGTGAAACATTCTCAATTGAGAGGAGATTTTTTTAAATATCCAATTTTTTGTTGTTTTATTTTGGTGGCTGAATGGTAACAGGGATCAAATGCTGGGTTTTGATTGCCAATTGTTTTTTCACTCATTTTTTTCATGTTATTACATTCTCTTCAAAATAGTTGTTTAATGTTCTGTGAATATGTCATAGTTACTCTTTATTTTGAATATTGAGGTTGTTTCCAAATTTTCATTATTATAAATAATGCGGTAATAAAAGCTTTGCCCAAATAACTATTTTTTCTTCATTGCAGTTATTTACTGAAAGTAAGTCTCAAGCATGAGATTATTATTTTGGAGAGTCTGGTATTTTGTGACTCTTGATAAATGTTGCTAATACTTTTTAATCTATACTGACATTAGCAATGTATGCAGGCAGTAATTTCAAGGTAACCTCAATAGTACTAACCATTTTAAATATTTTTGGAACTCTGCTAATTTAATGAATTGTTTTTCATTTTTTGTTTACTAATACAAGTGAACAGAACATTTTACTGTATATTTACTAATTTTATTTCCTTTTCTCTTGTGTGAATTATATGTGATGGAAGTGGTTTTAATTAGTATCTCCAATACTAATAACAGATGAAGCTGGGTCTATAATATATCTAAGGTTAGAAATATTTCTGTTCCTAGCTAGAGGCTTTCAGAATATCCCTGTTGGATGAATAAGGAAAAAATTTTCGGCTTACTCATAATACAGCTTGCCTTTGGAAAAGCTAGTGAATTTTCAGTAAACAGTTCCAAACTTGCAGTTAAAGAAGAGAATTTTTAGATGTTATCTCATGGGCCTTTACTGAACAAAATATCTGGTAGGCTACTAGAATCAGGGTCCTGTTACCCCTGCAATTTAAACTATGTATCATGTTACCTGTTTCAATTGTGAGGTACAACAGGTATTTAATAACGGTCAGGTGAGTTGGTGAATAAATAGATGATGGATGGAGGAAGTCAGTGTTTCCCAGATCTTCAGCCCAATAACACAAGCAATACATAAATACGCTTTTAACGAAGAATTTAAAACACAGAAATATACAGAATGGGGCTGGCCAGTTAGCTCAGTTGTTTAGAGGCCATGGGTTCAGATCTCCACACCAGCCAGCTGTCAAAAAAAATATGTATATATATACATATACACACACACACACACACACACACACATATATATATAGAGAGAGAGAGAGAGAGAGATTTTAAAAAGTGAGAGCCCTATTAAATTACTCCCCTTTCCATAGGGAAGTTTCTTCTACATTTTTTCTTTTCATATACATATAACTAAAAACATATGTATTTTTAATTTTTTTTTTACATAAATGGGATCAAACTACATGTATTGTTCCAGACCCTGTTTTTTTTGTTGTTATTGTTTTTTGTTTTTTTAAATTTACTTTATCTCTAATGTTTTCTATAGCAGTACAACTGCTATATAATATCCCATGGTTGGAATATACTGACATTTAGTTAACCATTCTTCCATTGGTGAATTTAGGTTGCTTTTAAGTTTTGCTGTTATAGCAAAGTTAAACATTCTTGGACATGTCTCTAAGTGCATGGTATATGGGAAACACTTTATTTTTGTATAGTACTCTAGATTCCTTATACCCTCTCGTTAGTTTTAATCGTTTTTCAGTTGATTCATTTGGATTTGCTAGATTGAAAATCTTTTTGACTGCATATAATAACGATTTTATACTTCCCTTTTTATCATTTATATGTCTATTTCCATTTCATGGCTTAACTGAATAGCTAGAAAGTCAAGTATAATTTTGATGGTAGTAGTGATAATGGGGCATCATTTTTCTATTCTTGGTTTTAATGGCATTTTGGTCAGGATTACACGTAAATTCATAGTGATGCCAAATTCTCATGTGCAGGTTATGGCACTCATTGGGAAAGAATAGGACCCTGAAACCTGCAATGGGATCATCCCATGTGGTTGGATTCAGATACAATCAACTATCTTGAACCCCCAAGTTACTTTAAGGCTCCCTTGCCAGTAGTAGTCTGCCCTCCTGTGCTTGAGGAGACCAGACTTCCTTTGCCTCTGTGACTGTTGAGAGGGTGGGAAATCCTATTATGGTAATTGAAAGGTGGGACCTTGAGGAGGAGATTGGATTGTAGGATCGTGCTGTACCGAATGGATTAAAACTGGTGGTCAGGGGCATGGTTCTGAGGGCTTTAAAAGAAGAGGAGAGTCTGTCTCTCTCTTTCTCTCTGCTCTCTCTGCTTCCACCATTTTGCAATGTGAGACCCTTGGGTCACTGTCACCACCACCACATGGACTTTGAACTTTCCAGCCTCAGAAACTGTAAGTGATAAATTTCATTTTTCTTTATAAATCACCCAGTTTCAGGTGTTTTGTTATAAGCAACAGAAATGGACTAATACATCCCCCAAATCCTGTGATAACTTCATCAGGGGAAAACGCCTTAAAAGGAGATGTTCCTTCTTCAGGCTCAGCACTATCACTCCTATTGTGACTGGATCCATAACTAAGGTCAAATTTCAGCATGTTCCAGAGGGACATATAACTCAGATAACCATAACTCAGAAGGACATAGCTTACACACCAAAAGAAGTGTAAGATTTTGCTAATATATATTGGCAGAAACCTGGGGAACATGTGTAGGAATGGATTTTAAGGGTATTAGACCAAGGAGGGTAAAATATAACACTAGATTGGATTGAATTCATTGATATGAATGCACTTACTAGAGATTTTGGATTTTAATGTGTTAGCTTGTGCAGGTGGAGGTGATTCTAATAGTTTTCTTGGTTGGACTCAACAGTTTCCTACATTTAATGAGGTGAACATGCCAGAGTCACCCTGTTATGATGTGGAAGAGATAATCCAAAGACTCAGGGAGATAAGAATGTCAGAGTGGATTTGTTATGTGTGACCCACACATCTACCACCAAACACTCATCCCTAACCATGAGAAGGCCCAGAAAACACTCCTTTACTAAGACACTGAGAAAAACATTAGTGAGGTGAGCACCTACGTTCTTAAAAAGCTCTGTGGTTGCTTTCCTATGTAGGCCAGGTATGACTATGGGGGATGTAGTCCCTGGGATGGGCTCCCTGACTTCAGTGGGGATGAGGGGATCTTGAAATGGATATGTGGCAGCACTAAACTGTCAAAGATAAGGTGGGCACATTTACCATGAAGGGCAGCAGGGATGTAATGGTAATCAGAATGCCTTTACCCCAGGGATCTTTGGCAATGGCTAATTAAGCATGGTATCCAGGGGCTGGTTGGTTAGCTAAGTTGGTTAGAGCACGTTGTTATAACACCAAAGACAAGGAATAAGATCCCCACACCAGCCAGCTGTCTCCCCTGCCCCCGCCAAAAAAGTCATGGTATCCCTGGGAACAAAATTGATGGGCAGCCTAATTCAAGCATAACAGAAAACAAAGTCTGGGTCCAGTATCCAAAAAGCTGATTTGAGTAACCACAATGGAGAGTCAAGGACTCTCACTCAGTTCCCAGAACTAAGTCATTTCACAGACCCAGGACCTCTTTATTAAAGGGGGTGGAGGATGTGCCCACCTAGGGATGAACCCTGCAGCGTTGCTGCAGGTACATACTGTAAATCTTCCTCTAGTCCTTACTCAGAAGACCTGTGGTTATTTACCAGAGTGACAATGCACTGGAGAAAAGGAAATACCCAGACCTTTTGAGATTACTAAACATTGACTCTGAATTGATGTTAATTCATGGAGACCCAAAACAATACTGTGGCCACTAGTCAAAATGGGCGATTATGGCAGTCAGGTAATAATATGCACAGGTGGAGTCTTAAGTCTTACTGTGGGCCCACTTGTTCTATGGAACCACCCTGTGTTATTTCCCCAGTGTATTAGTCCCTTTAGGTTGCTTATAACAAAATACCTCAAACTGGGTAATTTATAACAAAAAAATGAAATTTATTGCTTACAGTTTCTGAGGCTGGGAAGTCCAAAGTCCATCTGGGAGTGGTGACAGTGACCCAGGGGTCTCACATTGCAAGATGGTGGGAGGGTGCAGAGAGAGGGAGAGAGAGAGAGTTTCCCCTTCTTTTTAAGCCCTCAGAACCATGCCCTTGACTACCATTTTTAATCCATTCATTACAGCATGGTCCTACAATCCAATTACCTCTTCAAGCCTCCACCTTTCAATCACCATATTAGGATTTCCCACCCTCTTAACTGTCACAGTGGGGACTGTTTCTAATACATAAAACGTGGGGAACACAGTTCAAGCTCCAACAAGTTCTGGGGGGACATAATTCAATCCACTACACCCAGTTACTGAATGTATAATTAGAATAGACATACCTGGGGCCATTATGGTACTAAGGGCCAAGTAAGAGCCTATGGGACTTCCTCTCTCTACCCAAAATAGTAAACCATAAGTAATGCTGCATCCCTCGTGGAACTGCAGAGATAATGCCACCATCAAAGATTTGAAAGAAGCAGGGGTGGTGATACTTACCACAACCCCATTTAACTCAACTGTTTGGACTATGCAGAAGTTAAATGGATCTTGGAGAGTGACTGTGGACTATTCTAAATGTAGTCAGGTAGTGACTCCAATTGCAGCTACTATTCCAGATGTAATATCTTTACTGGGGCCAATCTTCCACAGCCACTGGTACTCAGTATGTA